CCCTGGCAGGGTTCAAGGCCAGGTTGGATGGGGCTCTGAGCACCCTGGGCTGGTGGGAGATGTCCCTGCTCATGGCAGGGGGTTTGGAACCAGATGAGCTTTAAGGTCCATTCCAACCCACCCCATTCTATGATTCTAAGACTCTTCCATTCGTAGTCTTCAAGCACTGGCAGAAGTACAGAATGGTAATCCTGGGTGTATTTGCTGACAAGTACAGCAGAAAATCTCTCCTGAAATGAGATCAGTGGGGTTTCCTGCTTAAGTCTTTCACGTAAATATGCGACCCACTTTCCTGTTTCAAGGCGAGATCATTGTTTGGTTTATTCAGTGAACACAACTGAAGAATCATGATGACTTGTTCCTGGTAGTCTCTGAATCTTGCAAAATGTTGTAAAGCTGGAGTAATTTAGGGGGGGAAGAGTGAAGATGTTGGCAGAATAAGGGTGGTAAAAGGCAAAGAGAATCCTAGCTGTAGAAGTAGGACAAGGAGTCGTAAGTTTCCTAAACAATAAAAATCGCACAAAATGCAAAAACACCCTTGAGACTTCATCACAGAACAATACAGAAAACTGGAAGCAGTCCATCTGAGGTCGTCACAGACCTTTCAGCATTAAATGCAACTTCATTGGCACTAGCCACATGTTGACTGTGGTGACCCCGCCTCCGTCGGTTAAAATTTGCGATGAAGAATGCACGATCATCTGTAAGATTTCAGAGGAGGACTGTGCAGGCGAGCCTCTGTTTCTTTCAAGGCTCCATAAACACAGCTGCGTTCTTTCAGAAACGACAGCAAAATTGTCCTCTGGTTTTGGTATGATGCTGGAGAAGTGTTCCTTCTGTAAGAAAGGGGTAAGCAGGTTTTGCTTTTGCGTTTTCCCTTGGTGGCTGTAGACGCTGTAAGTAAATCCAGCGTAGCTTAAGGGAGAGCAAGCGGCATTCACTCTGGAGCTCGTGCTTGGGTTTGGCAACGTAGTTTCTATTAAATGTAGCTCTTCCACACTTCATTGCTCCTCTCCTCACTTTCGGGCTTCGTTTCTCTTCCAGGAATGTATTAAACCTGTAAAAGTGGAAAAAAAGCCTGGAAAAGCAGCAGCTAAGATCAGGATTGAAGCAGATGGAAGCTATTTCCAGATCAATCAGGTATGTGTGATTTTTCCTTCATTATTGTGTAAAATATCCAGAAAACACGAGTGTACTGTTATGTATTTGAATAGACTGCAGTTATTTAATGCCTCAGAGAGGACCAAGATGTTACTAAAAGCATCGCTATCGCTGTCAGCATTCTCGTATCTTTCTTCCAAAGTCCAAATTTTTAATTACCTGGTTTTATGAGCAGTAATTCCAATTTTGTGTCAATCTTTTATGGTCTGAAACACTGACATTAGCTAGTGATGATTTGCAGTATAAGGGCAAATGAGCTGAGAAGTCTATTTTGCCATCAATACTTAAGTATTAGCAATTCCTAGATTATTTGCGACAATGTCTTTTATTGCATTCTGTCGTACAGCAGAATGCTCACTCACAAAGAGATTCAATTAGATATTTTTAAATTTTGCTCTGATTTTTTTTTAACTAATATTTCAAATTACTCGTTAAATAGCGTGCAGAATTCATAAGCCTCCTGCTTCCAAACCTAACGTTGAGTTTTGGAGAATGATTTTCCTGTTTACACAGGAAAGGTTAGTATTTCTTAGTTAACCAAGCTAGGAATTAATCTAGAAACATTACTTTCAGCTTTAAGCAGATGATGACCCTTTTGACTGAAAAAGAGGGATACAACACTTCTGAAGGAGTCTGGTTTCTTATTTTAACATTTTAATTTAGTAGTACCTAATTGCTCGGTCTGTTTCTGACTTTACTGAGGAGTTAAGTTTAAGGGGAGAGTCTCATGGGAAAACTGACTTATTCAGGTCAAATATTATGAAAAATATTTCCTTCCAGTGGCAAGCCACACGCCATCTTTGATATGCTGCCATACAGTTCTCCCATCAGTGTGCACGTAGGTTTTGCACACAGGAAGACTGCAGAACCCTCAGTGTCAATTAAAAAAGTTAGTGAGCTTGTAGTCTGGTTGCACAGTCTGTTTAGAAGGAGTGATGTTCAAGTTCCTGTGAAGAAACCGCTCCAGTGCTGCTCAATAACGTGAGCAGCATCTGTCAGAGGTGAGAAAGCTGGCGTGCTTTCTCCAGGGTGACGTTCAGTGCACTCTGGAGATCGGTGCTTAAAGGCTTAAGATCTCTGTGGTCTGCAGTTGGGTGGCTGAAACAGCAGCTGCAATCTGTAGTACGTTAGCCATGCTAACCCAGTCTTCAGCCACCCACAAGGTGAAAACCAAGCAAGATGGACCCTGTTTGCTTCTGGGATAGTATAATTTTGGTGTTTTGGACCAGTGTCAGCCCACCGGATAGCACAAATAATTGTGGCCTAAACAACTGGTTTTTATTTGATCAAAGTTATGTTCTTGGTCTTGCTAAAATTTCGCTGAAGTTCCTCAGCATATTTCATCTGTGTGCCAAAGAATCCTATTAAAAGGAGCAAACCTCAAAGATACTTGTCTTCCTCCTCATCTTACTAAAATAAAAAGGTACTTTTTCTTAATGATAAACCAAGAGCATAAAAGGGACAACATCCTTGTTACCAAATATAGTAAAGGTGGGAAAACTGCTCCCTAATTCTGTGCTGTGATCAGAACGGAGTCTAATCTGTTTCTTTCTAGGATGGAGGAGCACAAAAGCTGGAAAAGGCTAAAATTACTCTGAACGACTGTTTAGCTTGTAGTGGCTGCATTACGTCAGCAGAGAGTGTTTTAATCACTCAACAGAGCCATGAAGAGCTGTGGAAAATGCTAACTTTTAACAAGGTAGGTGACAAGTAGTGGCTAGGTAGGCTGCAGAGACTGAAAGTCTCAATAGGTTGGTGTGATGCGTCTGCAGAAGCACGCGTGGAAACAGCGCACGTAAAAATCAGAGATCTGAAGGATCTGAGGACATTCTCAGTGCACTGTTGTGTTTGTTCTGATTTTTGAAAAGTAATCATGGGTTTGGAAAGGACTGTTAATATAGTAAGTGACTGACTTCAGAGTTAAGCTGGGGGATACTTTCTGATGTTCTGGTGCGCTGAAAGTTCTACGTGTGCCATATGAATATTGCCTGAACAGTGACGGTGTTTGTTTGGTTCTTTCAAAGACTGCTGCTCCCAATGAACAGAAGTTGGTGGTGGTTTCTGTGTCACCGCAGTCCAGAGCCTCACTAGCTGCAAGATGTAAAATGGGTGTTCTGGAAACAGCAAAGAAGTTGACCGCGTTCTTAAAGAGTTTAGGCAAGTGTGGTATTGTGTTCTGTTAATCACAGAGGGGACTGCTGGGGTGTACGTTAAGCGTGACTGTTGGGTGCACACAAGGTTGAGATGTGATTTAACCCCCCCACGGACTCATAACGTTTCGTACCTGGCATTAGCTAAAATGCAAATTGTCTGCAACTTCAGTTGCATAATAAACTTGGAGCGATGGAAGGAAGGAGCTTTAAGCGATTTGCAGTCCTCCTGTCACTTTTGCTCATCTTACTTACGTGCTGCTGCGCCGGGGAAAAAGGTTCACCCTCGACTGCAGAGACTGATACCTGTAAAAAAGGCATAAAAAAGTTTGAATCCAATTTGACCAGAGGAGGTTTTTGGTGGTTTGCCGTATCTTTCTTGTGAATTTTAACACAGACGCTGTACTGCCTAGGTGTGCACTATGTATTTGATACAACGTTCTCAAGAAACTTCAGCCTATTGGAGAGCCAACAAGAGTTTGTAAAACGCTTTCGAAAGCAGTCTGAAGACAAAAAGGCTTTGCCAATGCTAGCTTCTGCCTGTCCAGGTACGGTTATTAAATTAGTATGGAAATAATAAATTGGCATACGAATAGTACACTAGAACAAAAAGTCAAAAAGCTAGTCAGAAAAGTTGAGATGGATAAATTTACTTAGAGGATTGCTCTGTTCACGATACAGAGAGATCTTGGTATTAAGCCTGGGGCTGGGGGGAGTGTGGGCAGAGTAAAGTGCTGCTTGTTACATTTTAATTTCATTTGCTAATTACGCTTTTATCAGGTTGGATCTGCTATGCAGAGAAAACCCATGGCAGTTTCATCATTCCGTACATCAGTACCACCAAGTCTCCACAGCAGGTCATGGGCTCCTTGATCAAGGGCCATTTTGCAGAACAGCAGGTAAGGGTCCGAGGTATACTACGCTTAATGGCAAACTGCTAAAATTGAACGCTTTAAGCTGGTACTTTTTTATTTTGCTACATGTTATACGTTAGAGTTTAAAGGTAAAATTATCTTGCAGAAGCCAGCAAAGGCAGCATCTTTCTCACTTCTATTTTATCAAATGAGAAGTTAGCAACTAGGGCAGTAACGCTAAGCACACGCTGCATGGACTACTTAAAACCTCTGCGTGTTATTTGGGAAGGCTGGAGAAACTTATTTTTCAGTGTCCCCGTGCTCCCATCTTGCCTGTGTGTGGTATTTTCATGTTGTTTAAAGCCGGTGAATAACTTAAAATAAACTACCCCAAGACAAAACTTCAGTCAGTGCATACGTGCAGATCATGTCTTGTCTAAAAGTTACTTGCTTGTTCCCAGCTTAATGTTCTGTTTCAGTTTGACATAGTTCTGTTCTCCATCTTTAACCTTTGGAGTCTTTCCAAATGTAAATTTGATATTTAAAGACTGGAGTTATACTAATGGCCTAGATTCGTCCAGTAAGAAACTGAAGCGCCACTTCTGATTGCATGATTTATTGTCCATTAATGAGCAGTGGTTTAACACTTGCATTAAGTAAATGCTGACATCTGCATACTTGTTACAAGAATTGGCAGCTACTGAGAATATTTGACACAAGATGCTGAAACAATAGCCTTGAGTCAATGACTTGTTTCCTCGGCTGTGCTTATTTCTTGGACGGTCATGAGGTTTTTTTATTTGGCTCCAGATCATTTCTTAGTTGCTGATGCAGGGGCTGGAAGAAGCACATGCTCGAACTGCACAGTTAGGAGTTCACTTACTGCCTGACTTTGTCTGGATTGTCTGCACTGGCGAAAGGAGGGGAGGGGAACCTGGAAAAGACCACACTGCTGACACTTGCTACAAACTAAAACTGGGTTCTATGAGATAAATACTTTAATGTACGTGTAAATGCGTGTGTGTGTATTAAAAAAATAAATGCTCAGTAATAGTGGGGAGTATTTCCAGAAGCATGGTGGCATTAGTTTCGTCATTCTCATTTGTACCTGGAAAACATCTCCCTCAAGACGGGTTTGGTATTGGCCAATCCAACTGCACAGCTTTGTCTTTCTTCCAGCACTTAACACCTGACCAGATATACCATGTAACAGTGATGCCCTGTTACGACAAAAAGCTAGAGGCTTCAAGGCCAGACTTTTTCAACCAAGAGTACCAAACTCGTGATGTGGACTGTGTAATCACCACGGGTAAGCAGAGCCAGAGGTAGTCCAGCTGATTTCTGGAAGCCTCAGAGCAAGGCGTTTGCTAGTTCTAATAACCCTTTGTCTCCGATGGAGGATGTAGTCTATGGATATTGCTGTGTGATGACACTTTAATAATGCAAATCATGTCCTGGTAAAAATTGCAGATGCAGTCTGATGTACTGATCTGTGGATTACGTTTTCCTTTATCCCCAAAATAAGAACTTTTTATGTCTCTGGTTCTCTTCTAGGAGAAGTGCTAAAGTTGTTGGAACAAGAAGGAGTGTCTCTGTCAGGTGTAGGTCCTGCTCCCTTGGATACCATGTAAGAACAAAATCTCATTTGCATCGTCAGTCGTGTTCTTTTGCATCCACTGTTTATAGAGTTCTGCAACAGAATTTGCCTTTTCACTAATGTTCTACACGAGGCTGCACGTGCTTGCATTTGGTTTGTTTTCTTGTGTCACTTGAGTCAGTACGATTGTCCATTAAAATACTTAATCTGCAGAATATGATGAATTTCCACTTTTGAAGAATCTGTAACTATTTGCTCTGGATTTTAGTGGCCCAAGGATGAGCAGCTCTCCCTGTAAATCAGCAGGATTGCTGGAATTAGCATAGTAAGAGTATAATGGCAAAACATGGTGCAGAGAAGTACAAATCGCGTGACGGTCATTTACTTCAGTTACTGCTACTTACAGAGCTGGTGGAACCCCTCAAAAATCTACCTGCAAACTTTGAAAAGTGAAGGAAGCTAGAGCAGTGATAAAAGAGTTTGCTAATAGAAAGCCTGTTACCGCACTGTGCTCAGTTTGCTTGTTTCTGTTCCGAGTTCAGACCTACTGCGAGGATTCCAGAATTAAAGCATAAATAAGAAATATTTAGGTCACTCAGAGACTCTAAGGATTAGCTGTTTGTAAAAAAATGAGATGTATAACATGTGCAAAGCAGATGAGGCTTTAGTTGCTTCAGCTGAGAAGTAACATCTGGTGAAGTGACAACTGCACAGAGATCTAAGTGACTACAGAAACATTAAAATCACATTTTACTCGTCGAAACTGCCACGCAGTGGTGGCTCCGCACTGAACGCTAAACCAAAGCATTCTCCTCTTCAGTTTAAAAGAAATATCTTTGTAGCACTTTGCCTGTTAATAAATAGAGGGGCTACACATGTGGCAACCTTTAAGAATTATAAAAGATGATTAAATATATCATTCGAAAATTTACTGCTCAGGCTCTTTAAGTTCTTAGATGAAATTTTGGTACCCCAAATTCACAGCATCTAGCCCATGATTAGAACGTGATGCAAGTCTGCATTCAGCTGTACCCCTTGCAGATGCAGCACTCTTGTTTGAAACGTGGGTGATTTCTAAACAGGCGTCAAGTCTTTCCAGTGCTGCCAAGCGCCATGGGCAGCCTCTGCTCGAGAGCTGCCTGATCAGCACCTGCACGTGGCAGAGCTGTGAAGGGAAGCGTCCTTACATCCAGCCTACTTCCTAGATTAGTTTTAACTGTTCTAAACATGGGTCACTCCTGTGCTTCTGGAGAGAAGGAGAATGTGAGATGGTCTATTGCTTGATTTAAAATAACATTCGTGCCCAGAGCTGTGGCTTCCTGCTGCTGCATTTCCGTGGGTCGGTAGGTGTAGGCTGCACATAACACTAGCACAGATCTATTTATGCATGCTTTTTCCAGGATGTCTTCTTCTGTCATAGCATATGCACAGATTGCTTTCACATCAAAAAAAGAAAAGTATCCTCAGCTGTAATAAACAGCTGCGTGGTTGAGTCCTAAAAGTACAACTTCAGAAGTTGCCCATGTAAACAAGCACTGCTGTTCTGCTGGCTTTATTGTTACACCGCTAGCAGAAAATTGAGGAGACAAAAAGATTCAAAGTGTTTGGGTCCCCTTAGGAGATGACATTATGGAAGTGTCAGTTATAACGTAGAACTGAATGTCTAATTCCTTGATAAAATCTCTGGCCAACAACTCGGGAGTACATTCTGCGCGCGAGGGCTCATGCTCCTGGTGATGAAGTGCCTCTATAACCTTTTGCTGGCTTTAACGTACTGGGTGAATTGACTGGTTACAAACAGCACGTATTCCTCAGAGCTGGGAGCGTTCACATCAGCAGCCCAATGGCTGTTGTTCTGCTTTATCCTCCAGCACGTGGAAAAGCCCATTAAGAGGTTATTGCATTTGGCAGCGAGAAGGAGGTAAAGTGCCAGAAATCCCAGGACTTTTGCTGGTGTAACCGTTTGCTCCAGGCTGGCGCTGAAGCTTACTGGCAGCCTCATGCTAAGAGAGTAGCAGTACGTGAGGCCGGACACACTGAAACGTCTTGTTAATGAAGCTCAGTTCCTGTAAACAAGATCAAATTAAAAATAGTTTCCGAGGGTGATTGCAGGCTAAAGTGTTGCCTTCTGCAGTTCTCCCAAAGCTCAGATTTTATCTGCAAGAGGCAGCATCTTCGATTTGACTTGGAGCTGTTTGGCCTGAGTTCAAGTGTTTTCCCTTCTGCAGCTGTTAGCAGGAGAATGCAAGTGTCACTGCCTGAGGAGTGCTGCAAGCAGATCCCTCATCTCGTTACTCTCTCATAACAAAAGCTATTGTTGTGGCTCCCATCTGGTGAGCTATTCTCAAGAAACATGATCTTGACCTCTGAATAGCTGGTTGTGTTTTGGCGTGTCAGTGAGATGGAATTATTTTTGCAGAATTAGAATAACAGAACTTACATTAACATAGCTGTTCAACACCAAAGACGTGCTGAACTTGAACCAGGATCCTGCTGAGGACAGCCATGTAGGGAGCAGATGTCCTGGCATCCTTAGGTCTGTTCACCTTTGTTGCTTAACTTTAAGCACATGAAATCACAGCAGCGCGGATTTCGTCTCTCTGTGCCCGTGGTCATGGCACCGACACCTCCCCGAAGCGTTCGCTCGTGTCCCAGCAACCACATCTGAAGTAGCTGCTGTCAGAAAAAGCGTTGTAGCACAGAACTAGAGCTTGCAATAGTGAGCTCCGCTGTTGTTGGTGTTGCAGAAAAGCTTGAGCGTGGATGAGATGTCTCTTAATGGAGACAGGATTTCTGCTGGGCTGTGTTCCCCGAGGGAGGCACAGGGTGCACAGACCCATACCACCGTTTCCCTCCTCCCCTTTCTAAGTGTAACCCAGGAGGTTTGTAGAGGTGTTAAGCAGGAAGCTAACACGATATGCATGTCAGGTAATTGCCCTTGTAACTGAAACATTCCCAAACATGTTTTTCATATGTGAAGATGAAGCTGGCAGTGCACAGGTCAGGCCTTGTGGCATGTGACAGTATTTCCTCTGAGCCTGACCCAAGGGCTGCTAGGCAGCACAGGGTTAAGTCTCCTGGGCTCTGAAGCTGGAAACAGTTGGTTCCCAGGAGAAAGGGAAAAGCTAGGAGCTCAAAGGGGGCTGGTCTGTGGCTGCTTCTGGTGGTTTTGAGTGCCCTGGACTTTCGCATTTGTGCTGGCTGTTCCGTTTTAGCAAAGATGCCCCTAAACCTGTGTCTTCCTTCCTTTCCCCAGGTTTAGCAGCGCTGCAGGAGAGGAGCTCACTGGCCACTCCGGCGGTGGCTCAGGCGGCTATTTGGAGCACATATACAAGTACGCAGCCAAGGAGCTCTTTGGAATTCAAGTGGATACAATTCAGTACAAACCTTTGAAGTAAGAAGTTTAAAGTCCTACAGAAAGCCCTATTTTTATTGCAGTTCTGCTCATGCTGTTATCTTGCTGATAGGCTGAAACTTTCTTTGCAATGTTAAGCATTTTACTTCAAGGCATGGGAATTGGCTTCTCACTCCCACAGTTGCCGAGCTGTAAATCAGCCAGCGCTCTGTGCAGCCTTTCCCTTGGAGACTCGGAGTCCCTTCACCACCCACACGCTTTATTCTGGCCTGATGGATTTTCCCAGTGTCAAGTTGCAGACAATTTTTAGAGTAATTTGGAAGACAGAGCTTGCATGGATCTGGGCTTCCTCACCCGCGATCAGACCAGTAAATTAGATGTATTACTAATCTAGCTATTGCAGAAGAGAAAAATCTTGTGTCAGGGCTTTGGGGCTCTGTTCTGACTGTGTTGTGGCAAGACAGAAAACAAGTCACTCGAGTTTGAGCATGGAGGCTCATTCAGCTGAGGTTCCTGCTAGCTTCCCAGGTGGGGCATTAATGTAGCCTTTGTAATGAATTATTTCCCTGATTAGCAGTGTTTGTGTTTAGGATTGTCTGGTCTGGGAAGCCAAAGGAACAGTCCCCCCAAGTCTCAACATAAAATACTTGATGAAATTCAAATTACTGATTCTTCTATCAGGAACGGGTATTTCCACTGACCCGAGAAGTCTGGAAGCCTGCAGTAATGGTTTGCTCCCTGGTTTTATGACCCACTACAATTTAAAAGTTTCCTCAGTGGCCTCACTAATGTATAAGTTGGCTGAAGCCAACTCAGAAGGCCTGTCACAATGAAACTTTTGTTTAGGCTCCATTTGCTTCGATTTTAAGGATTTATTCAACACAGGTGTTCTGCAGCAGACTCAGTTTGGGTGGCAGGTCCTCAAACGAGACTGCAGAAGGCTCTGTAAGCTGGTTCCTTCATCTGTGTTGTTTGGGTGGCCAAGAACTAGGACAGCTTTCTCAAAAAAGATTTCACAAAGAACTTTGTTTTAGCACAGGGCTCTTTGAAGTTTAAAATGGAAGCTAATTTGGACAAGACATTTTCTCTGCTCTGGTTCCTCAGAAACAAGGACTTCCAGGAGGTGACGCTGGAGAAGGATGGAGTGGTCCTGCTGCAGTTTGCTTTGGCATACGGGTTCCGAAACATACAAAACTTAGTGCAAAAGCTGAAACGAGGGAAGTCGCCCTATCACTACGTTGAAGTCATGGCCTGCCCGTCGGGTAAGACTGAGCACCACTGGTACAATCCATAGCTGTAGGAAACTCACTAAAATACGAGAGCAGCAGGTGATTTCTCACATCCTGAATGTTGTGGCAAAGCCTTCAAACTCTGGAGATACGATAGTCACAGCATCAGAATTTCAGAGTTGTTTGCGTGTGTGTTTTCCTGCCTAGAAGCTAGTATTTCCTCAGGATTTAAGTAATTACAGTTAAATTCCATTATACAAAATTTGCACGACTGGTGCTCTTGAGGAGGTCCTCCTGGTTTTCTGAGCTCTTTGGTACACGAGGAGATTCTTCCTCTGAAATGGCACAAAGCCGACCATCGTGCTTGTAGAGAACGCTCACTATGGCCGGTTAACAAAGTCGCTTTCTACCTGTTTTATTCCCTATTCCACTTTCTGCAACCCCTCCTATTTCTTCCTCCTGCTTCTCTTAAAATCTGCCAGTGGAGAGCACAGGCAGCCTGGACCCAG